TTTTTCTCTCACGCTCACACCGCACAAATGCATACACTATGACTGGCCCCCTGAGTCCACTATGACTTCAAAAATATAAAGAGGAAATGCTTACTGGGTGATATCATATTCTGGAAAAGAACAGAAAAACCTTGAAAAAGCTCTTCAAGTTGGACTCTATTTGTTTACACCCACCCCTTCATTTCTCATTTCACCACATCTCTGTCTTCACACTTCACTCGGCTGTGGTTGCTGCTGTATATCTAAGTTGTCAGTGCATGCATCTTACTGTGACATTGCCAAGAATAATTCTAGTATATTTATTCTGCTTTGTGACTAACTTCTTTCTGACTCTGATTTAAATGGTTGGTATATGGTCATAAGTGCAGAATTTCACTCAGTGTTCTGTTTCAGCAATGGCAAAAAAGCTTTTGAAATCACATGGTAAGTACGGCCCTAAAACATAACCTTGTATATGACATGGTTCACATATCTGTCTATACATAAACAAAACAATAACATAGTATCTATTTTTCATGTTTTTGCTCTTTTGATTGAACACCATTTCCCACAAGCTCAAAACATTGTGGTTTACGCCCATGACACATCAAGCGAATGGCCACTGTCAGGCCATCAGAAAGCATCTGTTGCCCTAGTTTTTGCACTGTGTCCAGTACTGTTGGCAGTTTTTGGGTTGTTTAGCATGCTGAATTGGCAGTGTACCCGTTGGTGAAAGAGATCACTTTGATTGGATGTTCAGTTTAGTGACTCATTGCATGAGAAAAGAAGGGTTCAGGTCGGCCCCTGTACTATCTATGATTTCACCCATTTAGTACAGTTTCTTCTTTTTTTTGCCTCCGTGGCCTCCTTTCTTCTTCTACAACCAAAAGACCCAGTGCAGAGATTGGTAGTGTCATCTGCAACTTCTTATCAGACATACTCTTGATGAGAAGCAGCTATAAACAGCAGCTGTGGTGAACAATAGCTCTTCGTTCCCTTTCCAAATAGCAAATACAGGTACTGCCACCTCCTGGCAGGGGGAAATATTTCTTTCAAGCAGGTGCAGAACGTACATGCTAGTTGGCCATTGGCTGTAGTCTGTGTGCTGTGTTCAAGTGCCACTTTTTGTTCCTGATGAAGGTGACATGAGGCAGCGCTTTAATTCTTAATATATCAAACACCAACCCCCTCTTACCTTGCAGTGTGGTTCTGAAACATTAGTAGAATCATGGCAAAAAAACATCAAAGAATTTCCTCAGCCACTCCTGAACCATAATCCACTCCCTGCTGTTAAAGTAGATGTCCAAAAATATTTGCTGTGCCATGTAATTTCTAAATATGTTACTAACCGCAGCATTATGAAGAGGTGATAAAGCATCATAGAAGTAATTTATCAAGCTATGTTGTAGAGTGCTCAGAAGTTTTCATGGCTGTTTCAATGCCTTTTAGGAGCAGCACTGAGTCACCCTTGGTTTCAGTCAAAACTGCTGTGAATCAAGCTAATTGCAGCTGCCATCCTGTGGACAGGCTAGTTTTAAACTTTGCAGAGCCACCTTCAAGTCAAAAGGCACTGAGTATTTGACAATAGAAAACTTTATTTGATCGGAGTGTCCCTTTTAAGACGCAGTGATGAGGATGAATGCACTGGCTCATATAGTATGTAGCTGACAAGTCTCAGCTTGTATTCTAGTGCATATGCTGTTCAAAACCCCAGATGGCCTTCCTTACTGACCTTAAAATTCCATTAATTAACTGTATGGTAATTAAATAATTAAGGTATTTTTAAAAGTGGTAATTAATGGATACATGTACGAATTGTATTATGGATTATCTGTACATTTTAAGGACGATTTAAGAGGGAGGACTCCTAAAATTCACAAAGTAAAATAAAATACATCACTTAAATTTTACCTTAAAGAAAGCAAACAACACAAACATGTAAACAGATAAATGATAAAGCTTTGATATGATTTAAGGTGATGGCAGAGATCCTCATCTCTTGTCAAAATACTAAAAAGTGTGCAAGCAGAGTTTTTAAGCTTTTTAAGAAATTTGAATCTTTCACCTCAAGACTGAGTGGTGTTGAACCTGCCAGTTGTGACATCACACCTGGGCATAAAATCAGATATGTGAGGATAAGCTAAGATGTGCAGTGCTACAAGAGCATAAGGAAAATAGCCATGCTAATGCTAAGTTAACAGTCTCCAGCTACATATGAAAATTCACTTTGTTATAAAACATGCTTGGCCTTGATTGCCTGTGGTTCCTTGGCTGCTGTTTCCTGTTCCTGCGGTAATCGTATTCACTTCCTGTTTACTGTGCCTGCACCGTGTTGAGGCTCACTGAATTTCTGCACTGTGGAAAACAGCCCAGCTAGCTATGCCCATATAGCTGGTGCGGAGCCTCCTAGATGTAGCTCAGCCCAAGCTAGCCACCCCCCAGTAGCCGGGATCTCAGCCAGGTGGCAGGGTGACAGTTTGCAAGAGTCGTAGCTCGAAACAAATACCCATGGAGCATCTGGTCACGTTTCAAATCAATTTTCCCCACTCAGCGACACACCCGTTGAGGAAACAACTCTGGTAATTGGTGGCTCCATAGTCGGCGTGTAA